TTTTTAGTATATTGGTAATTTCCAGGAAAATTTTTCCTCCTTCCTTAGTGTTTCTTACTTGCTTATAAGTACGCTCCTCTCTGTCTTTAAATGGTTATGGAATGTTGTATTATGAAAGATTTGTGGCCTCGTTTAAGTGAATTATTCGCAGTATTCATTACGAACGCCATGTGGGTGAGTAAAGGCAAAGACCAGATTCATTAATATTTGGCTTGCCAGCACCTTTGGCTTTCTACACCCGCCTTATTCCATCTTCAAACGTTGTGGGAACAGCCATCGGCCAGATAAGGGGGAATCTATAAATGCACTGGGAATAATTACGGCATGTTCTTAAAATTTAATAATAATAATGAATCGTGAGTATAGTGCTCACATTACTTTGCACAAGCATATCAATATTGAAAAGTATTTCCTAACATCTTAATTGGATAAATAGGTACTTCTAGTGTACGCCTGAAGTACTTTCATAAGGTATTCGTATTCGTATTCGCATTCGCATTCATACTCCCGTGGCAACAATAGCCATGCAACCAATTCACTCTTCGCCACCTGCCAACTCTTTGTGTGCCCCGTGCAAACAATTCTCGCCGGGGACTCGCCGGGAAATGCGGTACATGTGTGCACATGTAGATCCTGGGAATCGGGAGCCAGTGGGGGTAGGGCTACTGGCGGGCGAGCACATGCCACAGTGGCATCTGATTTGACCCTTCTACGGGGAGCGGGCTCCCGGCTGTTTGCTCAATCTCCCGATGCAGGTGCAGGAGCGTGAACAGGAGCTGCCGGTGGGGACAGGAGAGGACGAAGGCTGAGGCATCTGGCATGGTGCCTTGGCACTAACGAGTGAAGTCATGGACTTTCCGCCTGTCAGCCCGCTCTTCTCCATGGACACATACATATGTATGTACATGCCGACGTTCCGACACCCACAAATATGTAGAACAAAGGATGAGAGGCGCCGCGGGATGTGTTACTTTGACTTCACGGCACAGTAACTTGGACCACGTTTACCCTGGTCGGAAAACGTAACAAATGTTTAGTTAGTTCGTTATTAAATGAATTTACGGACTGACAGGAACAATGACCAAGAATATATGCTTTGCGTTCTTACCGCTTACAAGTACATCAAGTTAAAAGTAGACACTGATCGTCCTTTCTAATGATATCTTTATAGGACTAGCTATCTCATCCCTATATTACTTGCCATTGTGTAATTGTAAATTATAATATTAATATTATTTGTGGCAAATAAACTCTTTATAGAAATGGTATTCAGTACGTTGTGGCAGCGTTGGCTTCGCGATTGTTTTCTAATCCTTTTCTCTTGTTCAGTCACTTGCCCCGCGTCACATTTCATTGCATACTTCCAGGCGCCCACACACACACTCACGCATACAGGACACACACACATGCGGCAGTCAATGTCGTTTGTTGTTTGTTTTTGGCTTTTGTTGATGTTCTTGTTATTGTTCGGAATTCCACAACAAAGGGGCAGGCAAAGGGGGAATTACAGTAGAAATGTAACTAATTTGCGCCCGAGGATCTCATGCGTCTCGAATGGTCCTTGGGAGGATTTGTCGAGAGTTAACAACTTTGTAGCCAAGGAATTTACACTTGCCAGGTCCCCAAAGACGGAAATCAAAGTGCTTGCCAACAACATCGAGCAAAAGAGGAGCTGAAATATGCGCCAGGAGGCCAAAAGGACGAAGGCAAGCCAGGCCGCAGCAATTTTCTTGTTTCCATTTGTTGCTTTTCCTGTGGTTACCCAACATGCAGATGCGGAGGATACAGCTCGTAAGCCTCCGATGCCAATTGGCTACGTGTAAACATGCAAGATAGGAGCCTAAAGACAGATATACATTCCATCTAACCTAAATAGTATGTTATTTACATGAGTTTCTTAAAAAAAAAATGATTCTAGAGCCCTGGTTATTAAAAGTCCTGAACCCTTATTAGCGATAAATATTTTCCATGGATTTTCTCTAGGTGTATAGGAATCCTCAAAAATAAATTGAACCTAGAAAATTTCTCTGCTTTCGTTCCAAATCCCAATGACTCAATGGAATTAATTTGCCTTCTATCCAAGCCGGAAATCGAGTTCACCTGACCTTAAACGCAAAGCTAAATTGCAAAAAAGAGCAGAGGAAAAAGGACCCATTAAATTTGTATTACAACCTTATATTGAGGAGCATGTTCAGTCATGTGTTAATCTATTTGCGAAACCACACACATAGTGAAACATTCATGAGTGTGCCAAATGAATGTCGAATACCAATCTAAAGTTGAACAGTTTGCCGAACTTTTACCGGCGGAAGTTGGCCATCGTATAATTTTAGATGCAATTTTATTTGCAGCCACAACTTTGTTTCAATTTCATCGCATGTTGCCATAGATATGCTAGTCAAATTTATGTTTTATATTTCACACGCTGCATTTATAAGTTTCTTTGGGAAATGAGAAACAACTAACCGCAATGTCCGACACTTAGTTTGACTTTTCTCAACAAACTGCTGTTTAAAAACTTTTCTAGCAAAGCGTTTTGTTGCACATAGCCAAATCCATAAACCAATGTCCGCAAGAGCTCTTTATCCCAGTTTGGTAACACATTTAAGTAAAGACACCCCAAGCCACATCCTCAAGTCCAAGTCCTCCACATTCGGATGGTGTCTCCATTGTGAGGGAACAATGCGAACATGGTGCGCCCGACATGGTCATGGCTTATGGCTTAATGAAGCGAGCACGTAAATGAATGTCAATATGGCCAAAACCAACAAGGGCAGCTGGAGCAACAAATAACCGGATGGAGATGACCGACATTGTGGGCGGTCAAAGGAGCAGGCGAACTGATGTTGATGCCCCTCGTAATAGTTGCCACGCAGCTTTGACACCACGCCTTACACTTCGGGGGTTAATGGCCGGATCGTGGAGATAGCCAGGCTATATCTATTCCCTGTGGGCCAGCCTGAAAATTGATGAACATTTTTCCAGCCCATCGGTAATTCGATTTGGTGTGCGTGCGTGAATTTAGTTGGGCGATACTCCTCTAGTCCTCTAGTGGAGCAACCCATGCGAGAATCTATTAGATTCTATTGAAGGTTTGAAAAATTAGCCTGCGAGAACTCTACACTTGGACAGAAAACTTTCGGAAAAATATTTAAAACGTATAAATAAAGTACATTTTCAAAATGCGGCAATACTAATGGATCGAAGGATAAAGTGTACTGCAGATTAAGTTTCAGTGAACTGAACTGTCAATGAAGTGAACATGCTATTTACAAATCAATACTTATTTAAGGTTTTTATATACATAGGCTGGACTGTACGTCAAGTTACCATGTAATTTGGACATTTTTGCGCATGTGTTTGTTGGCTGTCGGCTTTTTGGCATGCGGAAGCTGACTTAAGCCGCTGTAATACGTGCATATAATCCTTTATGCCAAAACACATCAGCAGCAAGTCCTTGCCAACTTAAGAGCTGGATGATGCCGATGAAGGGGTGGGGAGGGGGATTAAGGGGTTGATTTGCTTGTCCTGGCTGTTGTGGTATTTGCAAGCAACAAACAAACAAACAAGGGGCGGCGACAGCAAAAAAAAAACACCACAATGTTCGTACGGCTTGCTGACGCTCTCAATTTCCTTTCGCTGTGCACGGGGCGTATGAGTAATCATTTTATTACGCGACCCCCAAAATTATGCCACACACCGAATATCAGTTGCCAGCACAGATGTCGACCTTCCGTAATGAAGGTGTGTGTGTGAGTGTGTGTGTGGGTGTGTGTGTGTGGGTGCTCTTTGTGCTCGTGTCTTTTATTGCGACCGAGACCCCTACATAACGTATACGCAAATTTGCCTGGCCCCAAATTAAAATAAATGCGCTAAGCACGCCCAAAAGTTGCTGAGAAACATTTGCACATTTTCTCGTTTACCCAAAGTCGTTAATTTAACTTACCGCCTAAAATGCCATTGTGTGCGAAATTGAAAAATAATAAAACCATGTATTAAGAGAAGGATTACGGCTCAAGTATATGAGCTTTAAGGCAATGCAGTTTCACGCCGAATGCCTTTGAGTTTATAAGCTGCAAAGACTTATGGCGATGAAATAATTATATACAAGTAGTTAATACTGAATTTGGTTAGCTTGGAACGATCTCAAAGTCTATATAGACAAGTTGGGTCTAATGCAGCAGCCAGAAGCGAAACTTTATGCATTCGCTGTTTTATAGTTGTTATTTATGTCAAACCGTTAACGAACCCCTGCAAAGAGCTCGTGTTCTACGCTGCTCCACTTTGCGTTTCCAAGTTTTTTGCCCCACCAGCCCACCGGATCTGCCCAAGGCGACGTCACTCGTTTTTTACCAGCTTCGCATTTCCCCCATCGATTCCCGCGTTCTGTTTAGTACGTGCTCACGGCTTTGGTTGTTTTTCCTGGCAGCCAACTGATTTCAAATTTTCAGACAATCCGGCTGTTTGCCACAAAATGAAAAAGGGGGACACCTAGTAAACGTGTCACGGAGGACGGTCAGCTTTGAGGCTGGAGCTTGCTGCAATCATTGGCCATTCCGATTATTGTTCTTATTTCAGAAGCACCTCTGATTTTCCAGCTCGAAATCCAGCTAGAAATCCAAGCAATGCGATATTCCTAATTGAGCGCAGCGGATGAATTACACGGACGTTGACAAACTTTCACCATGTAAATTGCTCGACTGGGGGTCAGCCACCACATAAGGGGAGATCTGTGGTTTAGTTTCTGGTTTGTGGTCTCCGTATGTAGCCATTCCAATCCATGCCACGCCACCCCATCCAAAAGCCAGTTCCAGTTCCACCCGCCGAAGGTGAAGCTTTTGCGCAACACTCGAAATCAAATTCATTTAAACTGCCACCGTTGATGACGATGACGTGGACGCCACCCCAAAGCTTTCGCATCTAAATCCGTATCTGTATCTGTGAATGAATCCGTATCTGTATCGGTAAGTGCACGAGTTTAGGCACACGTGCATGAACAGAACGGGTTTGACCGCCGGCCCGACGAGACGGACCTTGCTAGCACGCCGTTACTTCGATATCGCGGAACCTTATCATCTCGGGTACTCGAAGATGTGCCCAGTGCCATAAATCTCGCCCAGTGCTAGGAGGTGGTGGTCAGACGCCTAAGCGCCAGAACACCCAGAACACAGTACCACTTCGTTCGCCGTCGAGGGCAGACATGTCGGTGTCCTGGTCGAAGACTTTCGTGGCTTTCACCGTCGCCTGGCTCAGTGCCCTGTGCCTGCTGCCCGTGGAGACGTTCTGCGACACCTCCTACTACGAGAAGTACTACGCGGCGCGGCGCTACGTGCCCCTCAAGCGGAATGCCCCGCTGCTCTTCAACTTTACCCTAACGCTGTCGTATGAGGTCCACCTGGCTTCCTTCGAGCGACTCGCCCTGGTGGGCAACCTGCCAGTTCTGGGCGCCTGGCAAGCGGGACGCGCCGTGCTGCTCAACCGGACAGCAATCCTCAATGTTTGGAGCGCCTCCGTGGAGATACCGCAGAACAGCAGCGTGGAGTATCGCTACTTTGCCGCCGCCGTTGGCCAGAGTGGAGCCGTACAGATTCGCTGGTGGGAGTCGCATGTCCAGGCCAGGGCCTTTAACACCACCAAGTTCAGTGGCAATCGCAGCGATGACTTTGGACTTATAGGCGATAAGTGCCAGTTGTCGCGTGGCTGGCTTCAGGACTCTGGCAACATCCTGCAGCTGAAGTTGTTCCGCGAGGCGCTGCGTTTGGAGGAGCAACCAGAGGTGGGAAAGCAAAAGCTCCGCCTGCGATTGCAGCCCGTGGATCCGAAGAGCCTAGCGCCCATCCTCAGATCGGCTCGCGCCAATGTGGAGTTCGTGCGAATGGCGAACGGGAACAGTAACCTCCGGGGGCAGCCAGAGTACGGTGTGCCCTACGCCGCCGGTGACATCCTTATGTTCCATGTGAACGTGGAACAGCTGGATCGAGTGGCTTACCTGGTGGAGGTGTATGCCGAACAGCCGGAGGAGGAACTGGTCCGACTTCTCGGATACTCGCACCTGCTGCACACCTCGTTCCCCGGTACCGAAGGCAAAGTTTCCATCGACCTCATTTCGCCGCTTTGGCAGCGCGTGGTGGGTCAGCTGCACATGGAGTACCTGAACATCCGGCCCATGGAGAAGGATGGCTTCGATCTGCGCACCAGCTTCGCCAACTACTGGCGCTCCAACTGGACAGCCCTGGAGATTGGCCATCGGGGATTGGGAAAATCTCTCACGGTCACCACGAATGCGGCTCCGCTTATCGAGAACACGGTGGCCACCATGCTGGCCTCCGCCGAAATGGGTGCTGATCTCGTCGAGTTCGATGTTCAGCTGACCAGCGACCTGGTGCCCATCATCCACCATGATTTTTCTATTCGCGTTTGCATTGACTCCAAGACGCCGACGAGCAAGGATGACCTAACAGAGGTGCTGCTAAAGGACATATCCTATGAGCAGCTCAAGGATCTGAAGACGTACCAAATCGTAGGCAACAAGATCGTCGAGTATCCCGCGCACAACAATGTGGAGCCGCCGGAGCAGCGACTTTTCCCCACCTTGCAAGACTTCTTTGAGCGGGTGAACCTGTCCACCGGATTCGACATCGAGATCAAGTGGCCGCAGCAGAAGGCCGATGGGCAGTTTCAGAGTGAACAGACGCTGGACAAGAACCTGTTCGTGGACCGCATCCTGGCGGTGGTTCGGCGACATGGCTGCGGCCGACTCAATGTGATCAAGAGCTTCGACGCGGACTTGTGCTCCCTACTGCGCTTCAAGCAGCACATGTACCCTGTGCTCTTCCTCTCCAGCAGCAAGGAGAACGTCTTTAGCGATCCCCGGACCAGCACCGTGGAGCAGAGCGTCAACTTTGCCCAGGCCTTCGATCTGGGTGGAGTTTCACCCAACGCAGTGTTCGTGAAGGCGGATCCGGGAGTGGTTAAACGGGCGATGGCTCAGGTGCCCATCGTCCTGCTCTGGGGCTCGGACCTGAAGGACCGGGAGTCCATCGACTGGTTCCTGCAGCAGGGACCCACTGGAGTCATCTACGACCGCCTCGACCTCTGGCTGGGCGCCAACAGGACGAGTGCGTTCGAGGCGGAGCAGGATCTGCCCGGCTTCTTCCAGCACCAGTGCGATCCGGCGCCCAAGGAGCGCGAGGTCAACGCCACCATCGAAAGCATCCTGAGTAACGTTAACTTCCTGTAGTCCCGATTTCTGTAGATCCCCAAACGATATATACCCCTTGCAATAAAAGGTCTAAAAAGGATGTCTATCGAACATTTTCTGCAAAGGGAAAGGCGAATTGCTCTATATTATATTATATATGGATTTGCTTAGCAAGGGCACATTTCCTTATTAAATATAAATAATATGATGCAGCGTTTCTTTCGTCCTAAGAAGCAGATGGAAAAGAAAAGCCATTAAGCTCGGTGTATTTCACTTGATTTATATGCGCAATTTCAGCGCAACTTTTGACAGATACGGCTTTTGTTTTCCCTGCTGATAAACATGAACGTGAACTTGAAATTTAAATCTTTAATGAAATCATTGCCATCAACATCAGCATCAACCGCTGTCCCACATGTCGTTCCACATCCACTTCCATTTGCATTCGAATTCCCACACTCCCCACACCCATCCAGAATCCACTGAGTGGGATGGATAGTACACTATGGTGGTGCTGATGGATCAGCTTGGTTCTCTCTGCTTTTGTTACCCCCTCGGGATGCTGGGCCAATTACCTGCTGAGCGATTTGCATTTTTTCCGGAGGGGATTAGGGGTATCCATGCATATGCAAATATTGTGGCATTTATTGCGGTTATTTATCCGCTCCGTGGGTGTAAATTCTGTTCCAGCAATTTGTTGCAACTTGAAACTGGGCCGCCTAATTGGGTTTTCAGAAAATCTAAAATAATTGCCACCGTGCCTGCCAACATTTTACTGCGTCTTATCAGCAAATTCACTTGAAATCGCAATAAATCTTTGATTTACTATCTTGTTACCATAGCTGGTTCGTAATCTTACTACTGTTTGTAATCTGTACGATTGTTGAGTAAACCATATTTTCGGTTTATCTGCTTGCAGCGCCAGCTGATGGAGGCCTACATACGGCAGAAGAGGGCCTCGCCGGGAATGGTCCAGGCTAGCGATCTGCAGATCAACCGGCCGATGTCCGGGATGCGCAGCAACAGCCGGGAACTGCACGCCTACGACGGACCCATGCAGTTCATCAGCTCGCCGCAAAATCCGGACCAGATACTCTCCAATGGCAGTCCCGGGGGCATCACTCCGGTTGCCATGAACACGAGTCGCAACCACTCGAACAACATGCGCAGCCTGAGCACCATCAACCAGGAGGGTAAGTGGCCGTACACTCGAAGAAAAGGTATTTACTTTGCTTACAGTCAGCTTAGGATTCAGAAACCTAGCACTAGCAACCTAAAACTGTTGCTTAGTTTTTCTGTACTCAAACATCTTAATCAGTTTTGATTAATTTAATCTTGCACTTTTCTATTCAGCTGATCTTATAGAGGAGATCTCATCGCACGAGTTGGAGGACGAGGAGAGCAGTCCGGTGACGGTGATTGAGCAGCACCAGCAGTCCGCATCCCACAGCGCCAACTCGACGCAATCCCAGAAACCACGTGCCCGCCAGCATTCCTTCAGTGACAATCTGGACGAGGATGACTACACCAACCGCAATGTGGCGGGCGCCGCTCCAGTGCGTCCCGCGGGCATGGCCTCGTCGCCGTACAAGGACGCGACGCTGGAGGGCAGCAGCAACGGAACGGGGAACGGAACTGGTGGAGAGTCCGAGGGAGATGTCATCGGCAACATCGACCAGTTCGTGATGCAACCAGCGCCACAGGGAGTGCTCTACAAGTGCCGCATCACGCGGGACCGCAAGGGCATGGATCGCGGTCTCTTTCCCATCTACTATTTGCATCTGGAACGCGACTACGGCAAGAAGATATTTCTGCTGGGAGGTGGGCTATTGTTACTGATCCTCTAAAGAGGTGTCTAAAATTTGATGCACTTATCAGGTCGCAAGCGCAAGAAGAGCAAGACATCCAACTACATTGTCAGCTGCGATCCCACGGATTTGTCCCGCAACGCCGATGGCTTCTGCGGCAAACTCCGCTCCAACGTCTTTGGCACATCCTTCACGGTCTTTGACAACGGCAACAAGGAGAGCACAGAGAGTCCTAGACTGGACTTGGCCGTTATTATTTATGTAAGTCCACAAAGGCACCCCAATAGATAGCCAGCTCAATGTAAAACTTATCCACAGGACACCAACATCTTGGGATTCAAGGGGCCACGCAACATGACTGTTATACTGCCGGGCATGACTGAGGATGATCAGCGTGTCAAGATCAGTTCGGCGGATCCCAAACAGCAGGGCATCCTCGACCTGTGGAAAATGAAGGTGAGATGGTTGTGCTAAGATTTCAGAAAACCCCTAATAATTTCTTGCAATTTATAGAACATGGATAATATTGTGGAGCTGCACAATAAGACGCCAGTGTGGAACGACGAAACCCAATCGTATGTGCTCAACTTTCATGGACGCGTCACCCAGGCGTCGGTGAAGAACTTTCAGTTGGTCCATGACTCCGATCCGGAGTATATAGTGATGCAGTTCGGCCGCACCTCGGAGGACGTCTTCACCATGGACTATCGCTATCCCCTGTGCGCCATGCAAGCCTTCGCCATAGCCCTCAGCAGTTTCGATGGCAAAATAGCCTGCGAGTGAGCTGGCTTGGATCCTCGGGTTGGCCCGTTGCCTTATGTACAGCTGATTATCTGGAGTGCGGATCAAGTCACTCCGGGCGGATTATTGTTGAAAATATTATCGCAAATCTAGTCACTCGAAGTCGGGTTTGGTAGAACATCGTTGAAATGAGTAATGTAGTAGCTATCAGTATACAGTAACGTATATTCAGAATGTGCTCACCGATTTTATAAGTAAATATTTAGGACAGGTCCTACAACTTTGTAAATCTTAATGTGCCCCTCTAATGATAAGTTAGTTCACTTGTAAGCGAATCAGAGTAAATGTCATTTAAAGTAATATCAGTTTTATAATCAGCATATAGCAACAAATCAAGGACTAATGTAAACTATTTAAAATGCCACTACTATTAGTCAGTAAGAGAGCACTACTAACTTGTACTAAGCTCTAAATAAATATAAAGCTATTGATCAAAACATGGGTTTAATGCTTTTATCAAACACCACACTTTTAGTAAAATCATCATTTTCAAAATTCGTATTTAGTTTAATACGTATCATTTATTTTAGCACACGTCCTCGCGTTATTTAAATAAATGCCAGACCGCTAGGCCCTCATATATAAATTACGTAATCTATTTACAAAAAGAATATCAGGTTTCACAATCCATACACAAAATTGTATAAATATCTTCAAAATGAGTACATGGTTAAAGAATAACGTTAATAACTAATAAGTACAACGGAATTGCGTGGAATACTCCACATCTTCACTTTGTGTTATTTTTATCAGACTCCGTATGTCTCACAGAATGTGGGAACCTTTAGTTCCACTAACTCAACTTTTGTCTTTTTACATGCTCCATAACTGATATTTGATTTACGCCAGCTTCTGCTACGATCGTTTGCGCGGCTTATGCGTCGGTCGATCCTGGGGCAATTTAAACTCAAGGGGATCATAGTCCTCATACGCGAGCTTTCGCTCTGGCGCCGACTCAGGTAACTTGTTGATTTTCTGCAATCGTGCAAGAACAATCTGCAAATGCCGACCAATATAGTCCTCGGCGGGTGCCAACCGTTGGGCGTACTGCAAGCAAGCAGCTGCCTTTGCCAGCCTCTTACGTTCCACGAACACCACACAGAGGTTGTGCAACCCCTGAGTGTTGTGAGGATCGTAGTGAAGTATGCTGCGGTAGCACTTCTCGGCCTCGTCCAGATCCTTCATGTGATTTATGTAGATGTCGCCCAGAAGGATCAAGCCTTTAACATGCGAGGGGTGATGTCGAATCAGTTGATTTAAAAATGGCACTGCATCCAGAGGCCGTTTCGTATCGGCCAGAAGCAGAGCCAGATTAAAAAGTGCACTACGAAAATCTGCCTTTAGATGTATAGCCCTCTTGAAAAATTGCTCAGCCTCATCAAAACTTGACTCGTCCATGGCCAGCATACCCAGGTTGAAGTACACCTTCTCGTTCTGATCATCATTCTCCAAAACTTTGTACAGCCGAGACCGGGACACCCGGCGGGCCTCCTCGCCGCCCAGTTCCTGCAGCAGAATAGCCGAGTTCAGCAATGCCTGTTCGTGCTCCGGATACAGTTCGATTGCCTTGTTAAAGTACACCTGCGCCTGCTGGCTCTTGCCCTGCTCTAAGAAAACCACTCCCAGATTATAGTAGATGTCTGCATTTTCATTATCATACAGCAAAGCCTGCTCGTACACCTCCTGTGCTTGAGCTGTGCGATTCAGCTTCATTAAAATGTCGCCACGGTTGATGTAAGCCTGTAAAAAATAGTTTTGTAAGGGTATGGTAAAAGATGAAATATTTATGTCTTACTTGAACATAGTCACTCCTCATGCTGATAGCCTGGCGATAGAGATGGTCAGCCTCCTCCAGACGCGTTTGATTTTTGGCTATGAGGTTCGCCAGGTTGATGAACACATTTAAGTGATTAGGAGCTATACGCGCATGATAGCTGACACCCGGCTTAGCTTGTGGAAACAGTGCCTTAGCCTGAATATAGGCTTGTTCTGCCTCCGCATACCGCTTGAGATTATTGAACGTGCGACCCACATTGATGTGGGCTCCGATGTCATCGGTCTGAATACGCACGGCCTGCTGGAAATAGAGTAATGCCTCTTCGAACTTTCCTTCGTTCTCCAAAGCGTGTCCCACGTTGTTGTACAGCTTGGCGTTGCGCTGATTAACATGCACGCCAGACATGAAGAGGGAATACTCTGTCCGCCAATCTGAATTGCGTTGATGCGTTTTCAGTGCGTGCGTGAGGAGCAAGATAGCGAGAGCCGCTTGTGAAAAGCGTTGCAGGCTTAGGCTTCCACGACGCTGGAGCTGCCCAAAGCCATAGGCCACCAATAAGCAGTACCCCATGGATGGCATGTACAAAATGCGTTCTGCCACCACAAATCCCACGGGGAAGAACAGATTAGAGGCGGGGAGAAAGGGCAGCACCATCCAGCCCAGACACATTATAAGAGTCCGCGACAGGGCCAGATTGCGGGTGAAGCAGGCCTTGGCTACCATAGCCCCCAACGCCAGGAAGGTTAGCAAGGTGGTTAGGTTGCGACAATCCGTGAATCCCTGCAGCAACGGAACAGTGCCTGAAAAATAGGTTACCTTATTTTATTGAACTTCTTGTACACTTTAAGGATATTACTCACCCATTGTCCAGTCGCAGCAGAGCAGCGATGGGCAGAGTAGAAGCCAGCAGTTCAGGTAAATGAGGTAGCCGTAAGTAAGTTGTCTCTCAGGAGTATCCGCCGCAGAGGCTGGGTTATCAAACCGCGTAAAGATGGGCAACTGTGAACCCATCACGTATACACGGCCCACCAGGAGGGCCAACGTGATGCCAACCAGGAAGATCAATCGTTTCCACAGCGTCGACGAGGACCAGCGTCGAATACCCGACGGATTCGACAGCTTTGGCGATTGCTGCTCGGTCCGCTCCTCAAACAGGCGCAGCACAAAATGGCATAGGTGCAGTGGCCGTAGCTTATGCACCACGAACAACTCATAGACCACGCAAATGCCGGCAATGGTGATGCCTTGCTCTTTGCACAGCATGGAGGCCAGTAGGCAACTACCAAAGCAGCCAAAAAGCGCCAGCCAATTGGTGCGCCGAGGACAACCCGAGTCGCCGACGGACTTCGCGTAGCTTAAAAAGGCGGCCAGGAAGCAAATGGAAGAGAGCAATTCAGCACGCCCGACGACGCCAGTAACGGCCTCCGTGTGAACCGGATGCACGGCGAAGAGCAGCGAGGCCACGAAAGCGCATGTGTTGAGTTGAGAGACTGACGATGAGGATGAGGGCGAAATGGCATTACTGCCCGAAGCGGCACATTGACGCAGCAACAACCGGCAGACCCGACGCCACAAGAGGCAGACCGATAAGTGTAGCAGCAGGTTGACGAGATGGTATCCAAACGGCTCAAGTGCATGCAGCAAGTAGTTGAAGCGGAACGTCAGTACGGTGAGCGGACGATATGACTTGTGAGACTGCTCCTTGCGCATCGGCGTTCCCCAGAAATCGTTCAGGAACACATTGATCAGCGGTGTGTGCGGCCTCAGGTCCTTGTTGTCCCTAATTGCGCTGATGTCATCGAACACCAGCCCGCACTGAGTACTGTTGTAATAGCAGACGATGCAGGCAACGCATATGCAAAGGAACTCAAGCAGGTTGCGCTGCGGGGAGCTTGAGACCCGTTCCCGTTCCTGCTCGCGTTCCCCCGACAAAATGGAGGGTGCATACTGATGGGTTCCGGGGTTGGGGTTCGTTGACATTTTGTGTTGCGTTTCGCGTTACTTCGTGAAAGGCTACATGTATCCACAATTGTTCGTTCAGGCGGCGAAATGTTGCATTTAGGGCTTTCCCCAGCCACGGTCGGCAGGCCCCTAGATGGCCTGCAAAAAATTAAGAATGGGAAGAATGAGAGCTAGTTAACATAAAAGCAAGTTAAGTTTACAAGCCCACAACTTTAAGTATAGACACTTCCTGTTAATGACAAAGCCCTTAAATATAGGCTACATTTTTTTAAGAGGAATCCCCGGGCAACAAACTTGTGCAGTAATGCATATGTAAACTCGTTGCATCTTTTCTGGATACACACCCAAATCCTCTTACTTTCCGTACTCCCCCTCCGAAACTCACCGATTTTCCTTCAATACAAAGTGCTTTTAATGACAAACTTTCTACCGCTTTTTATGAGAACTTGAAGTTATACAAAGAAGCAAAAAATGTTTGCGGAAAAAATCAATTAATACGCAACAAAGTAACTCCTTCCCGGTTACTGTCCTGGTTACCGACTGCACAGACAAAAGCCCGAAGTTAACAAAGTTGTAACCCGGGCGGACCGACAGAGCTCCGGATCCGGACTTTGGGTACGCAAAAGTATACGGACGGAGAGCGTTTCAGAGAGGCGAAGAGCGCGTGAGAGATTTGTTTGCATAAACTGTTGTAAACGTTGCGGGACCTGGAGCATTACTAGGCGGGGCACATCGGTGGGCAAATGGGCAGATGGGCAGATGGGCGGATGCCACAATGTTGCACTCAATGCCATCGATTTTCCGGGCGGCAGTCAAAACAAACCACCACAAACGAAGTAAGCGCTCGTTAAGAGCGAAAAAGGGGACCAGCAGCTGGAGCTGGAGAGGATTAGATCTCAGCTGAGCGCAACTTTGTTGCACGACCGACTTTTCCCGAAGGACGACCGGGTGGGCACGTGCTCCGTTTACCCTTATTCCATTTTCCCGCCAAGAGCGGCACATGCGCGCTTCCGCATCCTTGCACTTTCACTTGCCAGGACGTGAGCTCTCCGTGCTCATGGCTCTCCCGCTCGACGAGCGCAAAATTAATGGCCGTGTGTGTTTTTGTAAAATTACTTTGACCGAGATACGGGGCACTGGAGAAGGATAAGGAAATGGGGATGGCTATGGGCGCTGGAGCCGGAGAGCCAGCCGCGTGTCCTCTCCCATTTTAGTGACATGGACATGGACGCCATTACAACGGCGATGGCCTCGCACACGCACACAATCACACGGCCGCAAACAAACCCGATTTGCCAACTTTGTTTCAATTTGCCAATAATTACAATGTTGCTGGGCGAGCCTCAGCCACTGTTTGGCAGAAGAGTTCTCACAGCATCCAGGCGTTCACATACTTGTTGAGGTAGTTCCATGGCCTCGAAACTGAATTACATTTTAATAAAAATCAGAGCCAAATGCGCGACTTGTACGTGGATTATTGTTGTGTTATCGATACGCCGATGGGCTGCTTGCTCTTCCACTTCCCTGCCAGCCATTCGCAGCGACACTTATCGATATGCGGCGAAAGTTTCATCGCGTGTCTTCCACCACTAACGCGTTGCCGTAAAAGAAAAAACCTGGGAAAGCTGAAACTGGCATTTTCCAGCAACATTTTTAAAGTTTCGCAATAAACTAGAAGCAATCATGTCCACGGAGGACTTTTACTTACGTTACTACGTCGGACACAAGGGCAAGTTCGGGCACGAGTTCTTGGAGTTCGAGTTCCGGCCGGATGGCAAGCTGCGGTACGCCAACAACTCAAACTACAAGAACGACACCATGATCCGCAAGGAGGCCTTCGTCCACCAGTCCGTGATGGAGGAGCTAAAGCGGATCATCATCGATTCGGAGATCATGCAGGAGGACGATCTTCCTTGGCCGCCACCAGATCGCGTGGGTCGGCAGGTGGGTTGTAGCCACTCAGGAGCTAGGGCTCAGCTAACCATCCATGTGTCTGTTTCAGGAACTGGAGATTGTCATCGGGGACGAGCACATCTCGTTCACCACCTCGAAAACAGGATCATTGGTGGACGTGAACCGTTCAAAAGATCCCGAGGGCCTGCGATGCTTCTACTACCTGGTGCAGGATCTGAAGTGCCTGGTCTTCTCACTCATCGGTCTGCATTTCAAGATCAAGCCCATATAAGCCGTATCCTCCACCTCAAATATAGCTTATTTATCAGACACATCGTATTTTGTAATGGAACCTCTACAATACTTGTAATTGTATTAGCTATAACGTAGTACTTTTTGGTACAGTTTGCAGTGAATAAAGAATAATTGGAGAATACTTTATTTTTAATACATTGTATACAGTCCTAGTATGACGTTGACTGACTATGACAGCGTTATAGAAGCAAATAGCAAATGTACGATGTAGGAGCAGACAACTTCAATAAGCCCACAGCTAGGCAGATTAAATCGGGAGCTCCAATATTGAACCATACAACTTTAGAGAATGAATATGAAGCAGATGTTATCATGTGTAGGTATATTTGAAAAATATAATTTAATATCTATGGTGTTTGAATAATATACATACTAGAGATAAAATTTTAAAGTCCTTTACATTTGTACAATTCGTATATGTCTAAAACAGCGTAATCTAAGTGATTAATATCTCACAAACTGGCAAATTTTCTTAACGTTTAAGTACAGGCAGTAACTAAGCCTAAGATAATAATCGACATCTTAAAAACTGGAATAATATACGCACTCACAAAAGGTTTTGAGACTTGCAAGGAGTTTGACTTACATATGCTACTAAATTCAGTCTTTGGGGTTAGTACTTTGCTAACGAAAGTACAAACTAAGGGCCTGCAAGCGATCAAACACTATAGAAAGCTCTTATAGAGCCGAATGCGTAGGTCTCAGAGTCATAATTGTGGCTGCTGGTGTAGAGCTAAAGTGGCTGATATATTGTTACTGGGTCGCTCCAAATAGCTGCCATGTCCTGGCATGGGCATTGACATTGGCATCTCTAGATGTTGGTGGTGGTGGTTCAACTGCGCCTGCTGTAGATGCTGCAACTGCTGTGGCAGCTGCTGTTGGTGGGGGAGTTGTGCCTTTAGGAGACTGGGAGATGCCTGCAGGGGAGTGTTGCTGGACACCCCGACGCTACTGCCACCAGGACTGGGACCACCCTCCTTTAGGGGAACGCCAATAGTCAGGCGCACATGAAGACCAGACTCCTTGATGAGATTCACTACATCGCCGTGCGACATGCCAGCAATCTCGATGCGGTTTACTGCCACTATGCGATCGCCCACCTTGAGCTCCCCACAACGATCTGCCGGACTGCCGGGTATTAGTTTCCCTAAAAACGTTGATATGTTAGACAAATAGAAACAAAGTCTAAAGTAAGTGGCATACCAATTGTCGAGCCGTAATAGTGGTTCGATGATGATATGATAACAAATCCGAAGCCCTCGTTTTCATGCCGGCTAACAATCACGTCATAAGGATAACGGCGCAGTTGTGTGCTGACTGGAGCCTGCTGCAAAAGCGGAGTGCGACGCCGGCGAAGGATCATGGTAACCTGCCCGCGAAGCGCTGATTCTCCCACCAAAGAGACGACTTTGTGGTGCGAGGAATTAAGCTGATAGAATCAAACACGACAATTAGCCATAATTAAATTGTTGGGCATGGGCTAACATACCACGTTGATGCCATCGATGCTCAGGATTTCGTCACCCGTATTAATACGCTGATCCTGATCTGCGGCGCCACCAGGCACTATGTGGCCTACAGTAACCTGAGAGCCCTCCTCTGTACCGCCGACTATGCGAAAGCCAAAACCCAAAGCCTGGCGCTCCAGCGTTACCTCAGTCAATTCGCACTGGTCCGCGTCTTCAGAGACGTCGAGCAAGGCTCCGTTTCGCCAGCTGGGCGAATGCTGCATCTGCTGCTGCTGGGGAGGATCCAGATTGGCAAAGCCCACACGCCTTCGGTCGCTGAGCAGCTCGTTGACGCGTCGTTGGATCCGCTCGTTTTGGAGATGCGCTGTCTGTAGCGGGGAGTACTGACCAGTCGTTCCCGACATGGCAGCCTGCTGGGCCTGGACAAAGTATCCAGGACGGTAGCGCTGCGCCTGGCAGTCGTAGCAGTAGCAAGACTCGTGATGAGCCAGCGGTAACGGGAGGGGCTGCATACTGGGCGGCATTCCGTAAATGCCGCCATTAGCGTCTCCCTGAAGCGTCACCTCCGCCAGACGCTCGCTGAGACGGCTAATCTTGGGATACGGATTCATATAGGGAATATCGTCTAGCTCCTGCAAACTGTTGTTCGACTTTCCCTGGGTCTGCAGCTGAAGCGGTTTCCTCTCCGCATCTGCAGCTCCGTCACCCTCGTCGTCCACCTCATTGTTCGGCGTTTGAATTTGAACCCGTGACCGTCGCGTGTCTACCAATGGTGTCTTTGGGCGCATGGGTAGCACCTCCTTCACCTGGGTGCTGTAGAGGTCAGCTGTGGGCGTCTTGCTGCGGAACAGACCGCTGCCCACAAAGTTCTTTCGCAGCTTGGCTACATTACCCACCTGGTTAAGTTGGGCGAGCGTGTTGTTGACCGGCGGATCTGGCGGTGTTCGCTGAATCTTCACGGCTGTGGGCGTCGTCTGGCTGCACTCTTTAAGAAGCTCCACCACGTAGAAGTGCGGCTTGTTGCGCACGTTCAAGCCGTTGATTTCCAAAAGAACGTCACCCTCCATCAGCTGGGTGCAGCAGTTGCGATCGAGGATCTTCTTTACGATCTGACCACAGGCGGAATCGGCAATGGTGAATCCGAATCCCATCGAGCCCTTCATGATCGAAAAGGTATAGATCTCGGGTTTCTTCATTAGAATGAAACCACTGCCAGAACCACCGGCTTTCTTTTCTCCCTCACCGGACAAATCCAAGAAGTTGTAATTGCCGTCCATGTTGAGGCGTCGCTGCTTGTCCGACTCCCTTCCATCCACCGCCATGGTGGTCACTACCTCGGTGTTCGGGTCATTCGGGTCAAAGGGCAGCGGATAACCACGACACACTTCAAGGGCTGCCCTCTCGCCAGGCAGAATCGATTGAAATATATTGACCATGTCGTGGTGCGTGTAGCCCAGCACACAGGTGTCATTGACATAGACCAGGACATCTCCCGTTTGCAGCTGGCCATCCAGCCAGGCAGGCCCGTTTGGCACAACTGTCTTGATCTGCAGGAACTCCTCCACGTCCCCACCAGCGCTCCCATCACTTCCCACAATCGTAAACCCCAAGCCTCTTGATGACTTTAGGAGCGTGGTGTTGATACGCTGGCCCTGCAGCTCAGCGGGATTGCGGGTGAACTTGTACGGCAGCTTCATTGGGACATCATCTTCCTCCTGATCGTGCGGTTCTGCCGCCTCTGGGGGCATTGTTTCCGACAGCGCAGTGGGTGTCTTGGAGCGCTGTTCCTGATGCTGTTGCTGCTGTTGCATCTGCTGTTGTTGTTGACTCTGCTCGGCTGCCCGTCGCTTGGCCTCCAGCACTGGGTTCTCGTACTGCGTCCGCCGGTTTACATGGTCAATAAAGTACATTCCATACATGGAGTCCTCGATCTTCTCCCATCCGTAGGGCAGCTCGTCCTCGCAGCAATCTTCCAATGACTTTTTCTGGTACTTGGAGAGCCGCGGATCCAACCAGTGAGAAGTGCCCGTGTTGTGACTGTAGGATAGTATGAGGTCAATATATATGGATCTAGGTTCCGGTGATGTATTATACTCACTCGATAAAGTAGAGTTCGCCGCGTTCAGTGTATGCAGTTTCCCATTTGGGC